GAAATGTTTATATTGTATTACTGAAGGTAGTTCAAAATGTACTAAAAATATTAAGCGTTACTTTTAATTTAAATTCGTAGCAGATTGTCTATTGCCGTTTCTCTTTATAAAAATATATCTGTTAAGATATAATGCCGTAAGGCCTAACTCAAAATTTTGGTCAAGTGAGACTTTAAATGCTAAGGGCACAAAATGAAATGTTATCCGCTGAGAAAGAAAGAGAAAGGGCAATTACTCGATAAACATATTTACCTAAACCTCTCTCACACCGCTGCCGCATCCCCTGATTTACTGCTAAAAGTTACTAATTAGTAAAATGCCCATATTAAAAGTAAGACTGTTCAAATGTTGCGCATTTCGGGTTTTTCTATGAATTCTATGACATATAAACCGTATAAAAAGAGCATTTATATGATGTATGTTTTTCCTGAATGATTCTGTATATTACGGCTTATTATAAAATCTTTCTATAGTAACATTATCAAAGAACAAATATGTAAAATTGCATTATCATGACTTTAATAATAAGCATTTTATTCAAAAAACAAGCAGGAGTGGAACAATTCAAAATGTTTGAACGCCATTTCCCAGAATTATTAGGCCTTTGTATTACTGAGGGTGCGATTATGTACAGAAATCTACTCTGAATTAAACATTGCCTATATCATAGTGAGTAGTTTTCTTTTAGCTTAAATTTGCTGCGTCCCCGCTGACGTCTGACAGCTCAATGTAAATGATTGACATCTAATGAAGGGTATTTGTTTTTTTAACGATGAGACGGCTAATCTTTGTGAATATTCTATGTAAATGTTAGGGCTTGTTTTTTCAGAGAATAGTACAATTATATTTAACAAAAAATTCATAACTATAGAACATGTTGAGCTCACTCAAAAATCGTTAACACTCGTCGCTGTCTACGCCTCAACCAAAGTTTGCTACACCACGCCGAGTGACAGCTTCAAATCCAATAAATTAAACATTCAAGTGTTAATCCACTCAACCATCCGTCACTTGATTACAAGTTATAAATCAGAGATTGCAATAATAGGTGGCCGGCGGCACGTCGACAATTCAACACGATTTATTCACAATTTCGGTCACGTTTCGGCCAAAGTGCTTGCCATTTGGAGGCTGCCAGAAAATGATTCTGCACTGACAGTTTGGTAGAGGGTCTTAGTAATTGGTGAGTCGATTTATTCGACAATAATACTTGATTGGTGTTGAGAATCGATTTACAGATGTAATTGTTTTCTGAGCTGACTGTTTAAAATTTACTTTGAATGTGTAGTAACGATGCGGTAGAGTGTGTTGTTGTTTCACAAACTTTAAAGTTTAACGAGAAATTTACAATATCGTAATCTAAACTTTAGGTTATCCATTTAAATTAATTCAATTTCAAATTCAAAATCATTTATTAATGTAGGTAACACAATCTACACTTTTGAACGTCAATAAAGAAATACATATAAAATGCTTCTAATTTTACATTTACTGCCAGTTCTCCAATCAAGGACGTAGAACGGACGAGAAGAAGTGGCAGGAGGCTGATGTTAAGTGATACCGCCGCCCATAGACACTCTCAATGCAAGAGGGCTCGCGAGTGCATTGCCGACAATTGGTACGCTCTTTTCTTGAAGGACCCTAAGTCGAATTGGTTCGGAAATACTTCAGTGGGTAGCTGGTTCCACAAAGTGGTGAAGCGCGGCAAACACTGCCTTAATAGATACATCAATCAATATTGTTAAAAGAATTCTCTCCAAACAACGTTAATAAAAATAATTTCCTTACCAAAAAATTTAGAAAAACCCTGTCGACCTTGTGTCCGATCAAATAAACATCTGTAAATCATTTGTTTGTCGTACTCCTCAAGGCACAATATACAATTTTCACGCGCGATGTAGAAATTTTACAAAACTCGTTATAAAAATCGTTCGTAACAAATAATTCCACCTCGGCTCCATTTATGATAATCAGTTATTTTTATAAAATGAATCAGAGATTTTTAAAACAGACCTTCATATGAGTTGTAGCGAATCTCGAAGGGGACACAGATTTATGTCCGTAATCAGATGCGGGGACCGCTGACATTGGGGTTTTATTGGTCTAAATCAATATTAGCTGAGGTTACAATGTCGCTTACATTTGCTTCAATTTCATTTTCTAAAGTAACCTCTATTACTTTGAATAAGATTGTTTTTGAACTAATACTTTTTTTACATTGGTACGATATTTACATTTTTATTAGAGGATTGTTTTATTTTTCTATTATTTACTTAGAAAAAATTTTCTTTGTCTTAAGGCTGCTGCAAATCCCCAATTAAATAGATATTAAATATTATATTCTTATCACTCTCGTAAGTAATTACGATAACAATGTAAGGCGGTACATGTTTATTATGTGATTTTCTACAATAATAATTACTTAATTTAATTTAGTAATTTAATAGTATTAAAATATATAGCAGTGAAAATATTTTGTCTGTTTTCATCATGTATTATATCATCATTACATTTTGTTCGTCACTATAATGCTTTAACCACTAAGCTCGGAGTCAGTTTTTTATTCCTTCTTCAAGAATATCAGGTTTTAAGAGAAATGAGTGTAAAAATAAGGACTTTTACCCTTCTTGTGATTTAACAATGTACTTATGCTACTTTTATGACAAAACATGTCTTTCAATGTCTCAAATCGTTTAAGCTAGTAATATGTGTAAAATAACACATTTTTGTCTTCATTAAGATACATTATTATATAATTAAATTCAATGTTCACGCTAGTACTTTTACCTCAGAGAACATTAATTCATCTGTATGCAAACGAGACACAAGGGAAAACGATTTTGTTCTTATTTGTAGAATTATTCCCTCGGCCCTGTAATTAATCGTTATATAGTTGTCATAATATGTATTTTATTTCAACCTTTTGAATAAATATGTTAAGTTGTTTTGGATTAAAAGGTCCGCTTGTTGGCCTTTGGTTTCAATTCGTATTTTGATTCCGTTTGTGTAAAACTTTTATTAGTATACATCGATTGGCAAATTTTCGACTTTACCAATTACTTTACGATTTTAACGTATTATAATGATAAAGGTGGAACTAGTTGGGTATGTCAAAAACAGCTGTCAGCATTATATGTTATATGTTAAATGTAGGGTAATTTAATACGCGACTTTATTAATTGTACAAGAGATTAAACACTATGTATACACATTATATATTCGCAAAACCTTTTTCAGCTAACCGAGACGCCAAGCTACGCACTAATCTTTTGTGTTTTAGTTAACACACAGATGTATTGTTAAAATATTTCGGTTATTATGGCACAAATTATCAAGAAAGAAACAAATAAAAAGACCTATAGCGCCAAAAAAAATCGTCTTTCTTTTTTACAAAAACTATATTAGACTAACAAAAATTAATAGATAAGTAAGCCCGTAGTTTTAAGGGTGAAGCTTGATATTGCTCTAAAGGTATTTTAAAGATATGAAATATGTCAGATCATACTGCGAGCGGGTCTTCAGGGACTGTCGACTTCAGACGTGCTACGTGCAGTCAGCCGCCTACCCTGGGGTATATCCTAGGAATCTGCACTGCAGGTAATAAATAGGTTATCTATAAAGATATTTATTGTAATATAAGCCCCATATGACCTATGATTCATTATTTTTCCTTGTATGGAAGTAGGTGATCTGTCTTGTTGACAGGTAGGTGATTTTGGGTCTGAGACGTGCCTATTTCTCTTAGAGACTCAAATCACTAAAAATGTAATTTATGGGACTTAAAGATTATATGTTCTTTGCAAGCATGCGTGCATTAAAAGTCGTATGTAGACACTACCCGTAACCAAGCCGCGGGTTTTTTCTGTTTTATTTATATGTCAATAGTAGTATTCGTTATCGTTCTTTTATCATCCCGTACAGATAATTCTTTTTATGGGAATATACCCTGGTAAATTATTAAACATATTGTGATCATCTATATACATAAAAATGTTATGTTGGTTTGTATACGCTTTAAAAACTCAAAAAGTCCTGCACCGATCGAGCTGAAATCATTTCTCAACCATCTAATCATAATTTGACACAGCGAAGCGTGGCAGGGTACAGCTAGTTCTTTATACTTTTTAAAATGTTCCAGTTCCAGTAAAGATCTTTAGCTTACTAATATTATATCTTTCTAGATACCACTTAAACACGAGACTGCCTTACATAAAGTTATATATAGAGAATGAGGAGTTCAACATAGATGGTCAGAGATGCGAGAATATAATGACCTGTCCCATGAGGCCTATAACCTCAGGTAAGTCACTGCATTGAGATCCTTAAGGCTAAACATCAAGAGGTGACTTCAAGTAATCTTCTTATGTCTTGCTAATCGGCTTATAAAGTTATACTACAACAAAGCACCGCTTTATGTGTGCATCTCGTTACTTTGTGGTTACGATAGCATGTATGTTTCGAAATCTGTAATATAATGTTGACTGATTTTTGATGTCATAAAAAAAAAACTATTTTCTCCTATAAACTTTACGTTATGGGTTCAGGTTTTCGGGCCCCGTAGGCTTTCATAGATTTGAAATGATCTGTCTCTGAGTAAATACAATTTCTGTGTCGTTATTAAAACTCATAAATTCTAGGTTCGATTCGGAATCGAATAATTTGCATTACTGACCTAAATTATTATTATACATGAAAAGTAAAATACGCGGAAAATGGTAGGTTCTGGATTTTCTTTATATGATAGGGGGGCAAATGAGCAGCCACGGTACGGAGGTACAGTGCAGCCATAAAAGGAAGCAAATCTTTAAGGATATGCTTTTTGTTTTTAATATACAAACACACAATATACAATAATTAAAGCTATAGACACACTTATTACTCTTAATACGACGGCTTATTGGTCTAGTGGTTAGTACCCCTGACTGCGAATCCATGGGTCCCGGGTTCGATCCCCGGCTGAGACAAGACATCGATGTGATGAGCATTTGGTGTTGTGCTTAGGTCTTGGGTGTTTAAATATGTATTTATATGTCTATCTATCTATAATATGTATGTATATCCGTTGCCTAGTACCCATAACACAAGTTTCACCAGCTTAACATGGGACTAGGTCAATTGGTGTGAATTGTCCAATAAAAAAATAATACACCTTATACATTTTTGATACATCTAAAATCTGTCAATATTACTCAAACAATAAAACTCAACAATAGTGAACTGCACAATACACAATAGTCGTGGCTTTGCGCAGACATTGTTAAGAAAATGAAATAAAAGACTCAAAGCAAAGCGAATGTAATTCCAAATCACACGGAGCCTGACAACGCATATACTGTTAATATATATACAAAGGCTGTTTCAAGTTGAAAACAATCAATATGGACGGGATGCCAATAAAACTGAATATTCGTATTTTTGGTACAAAGTTGACTGACAGCCAAATATTGCAATTTAATGTTATTGTATTTCTTTAACAGTGTCAATATTAAAGTTCCATATATATTCCATGTGTAATGAAAATTTCACGTAATGATGTTTTTCGCAACTAAAAAACATTATATATATTTTTATTTCATTATATAGATTAAATAATATAATCTATATACTATAAAACCTAAATATAACAGCCAAATATACAGTATTTACAATTTTCTTCACCTTAATAGAATATAAATCATTAAAAATTAATAAAAATAATATTTTATTTTTATTACGGGCGCGCCGTTTCACATTAAGATTTTTTCATAAATTTTACCGCACAGCACAGTACAGCAAGGAAAGGCTGCCAATATCATTATAAAAAAGACTATTTTAATTATCTGCGTTACGTTATGTTAAACATGTTCCTATTAAACTTTTCCCTTACAAACAACATAAATCACAATATTTTTAACAATGAAAATTCGAATAAAATACAATAAGATTTGAAACATCTTAACGAGACAAAGTTTTGACACCGGGACGTAATATCTGTGAAACTTTTCAGAAAATACGGGGATTTCGTGTCCATTATTGGATCTTCGTTATTTATTAATGTAATAAATTACCTCACCTTACGATATAAAAATTATGGATACTTTAGAGGCCTACCTTGGGGGTAAGGGCTATTCCATTCGTTACGCCAGAACAACCTGGTGTAATAATGCGATGGATTTTATGGCAGTTTATCTGAGATTTTAAGAGATATTTTAGTGGGGTAGGCTTAAAATATGGTTGTGATTATTTTTAAAGTTACAAGTAAAAACAACGCGCACTCGGTTCGTTTAACCCAATTATTTTTACAGATGGCTGATTATTTATTTTAATTACCTTTTTCTTGTTTATTACGTTTTTTCTTATCGAATGAACATATTTTGTTAGTTTTGGCAATCCATTGGTTCACACCAGGAAGCAAGATTCGAACTCACTAAGGGTGTACTTACCTATTCGTAGACTAGCACAGCTGTGGTATGAGATTGACAATTATTATATTAAAAGATTTGTAAATATTTCTTAATTGGTTAACATAGTCATTTTTAAATACACAAATATTCATAACCTACATAGTATGCGGTTCAAATATAAGAACTTTGATTTTGTTCCCTTTGGAGTAGAGACTCTTGGGCCGTGGGGTACAAGTGCACAGTAGCCAATTAAACATTTAAGTTTGCGCCTAGTATATAGCACCGGTGACCCCAGAGCTGGTGCTTTCCTCGCTCAACGGATACGTATCGCAATACAGCGCGGAAATGCTGCCACAGGGACCAAACTTTTTAAATTTGTTTCAATTTTTAATAATAATTAATGTTTTTAAATTTTATTTCAGACATAAAACTTCTTTAACAAATAGAAACGCGAATTTATTACACTATTTACTTAAATCGAAATTTTAAATGTTTTGCACCCTCGCTGTCTACTTTGGCTGAAATTCTTTTGTACCCCCGACTTATGTTAATGACATTGGCGCTTATATCCGTTACTGAATATTTTATAATAATAGTAATAGTATCTAGTAATGTAGTAATAATAAATTGTTTATTGTCCAGGTTCGGAAAACTGTCCATATGATTACATAAGGATTTATGACGGAAAAGACGAGTCAGCTTCTGTGATCGGTACTTTCTGCGGTATGGGCAAGTTCCCGTACTCCATCATTGGGACATCACAAGACCTATTTGTGGAGTTCGTTAGTTCACCAGCAGGTAATAGATACTATAAACGTTAGCTCTTTTAACAACCTACCTAGTACTATCGAAAGTTTGTATTCACGGAATGTGTTAACAAGGCAAGCGGTGAATTGTCAATACACGGAATTTTTTTTAGATATTAAGTGTAACAAGGTGCGCTTACACGGGCAACAAAATTTTCTTCAATTCCAGTCAATACTCGTCAATTATGACGTCACGACTCATTTACGGCAACGGAAGCATCAATACTGCGCAATACAATATTGAGCGATATGGCGCAACTTCATCAACTAGGCAATACTGTCATACACGAGCATTTCAGTTTTCGCTCGCTATGGACGACATTGTTCTTGCTCCGGCGGCTTGTAGCGCTTTTTTTATCATTAATCAAAAACAAAAAAAAAAAAACAAAAAAAAAAAAAAAGCGTATCTGGGTGCGATAGTTTTTGTCAAAATTTTCATTATGTAAAGATCATATATTATTCAAAAACTTTACTAGAATGTCACGAACAGACTTTGAATTACTTTTGAATAAAGTAATTAGAAATTATTATTATTTAGACCTCTCTCGCGGAAGCAAGACGGCAAGCCGCAAAACAAACAAGTGCGTGCATGAGACTATACAAAATTGATAGGAATTTCCAAGTCCATTGATATTCGTCCAATTCGTATCTGCGACATTGAGCGATATGAAATACCTGGAGCAATTAGAAGCAATATCGCCGAAATAATTTATTGCAATTTTTGAATTTATTGAAATTGCTCCCATTAATTGCTCCAGACGGGCCTTTTCGGGCGCCCGACAAATTTTCCCCCCCGCGAGCCCCCCCCCCTGCTCAGACGGTTACTGTTAGTGTCATGTACATGAGTAATTGTGTCCTTTGTTAATGTGAATAAACCTTTATTAAGTAAGATTCAGGCAAACGTCCTATTTAAGTAGATACAATCAAAAGGGTGCTTTGTGATTTATATTGCTGTTTTTTTTTCACAGAGGGGTTTTTTTCGGGGAGTGAATTCCGGAAGTTGAGAAAGATTTTTTGCTAAATTTAAAAAAAAAAAAATTTATCCAACTGTCAAGTGCATATGATTGAATTAAGTTATTTTATTAAAAATATACAGGTAGTGATAATAAAATAATAAAAATTATTTAACGCATTTTAAAGAGGAATACCGTAAATAAGACATCACCATAATAATTATATATCTTAATTAATTAAGAAAAAAACTTAATTTCTGATTAATTAAACACTGATTTAAACATAGGCTTTAGACTGTTTTGAATTCCAATTGGATATATGGTGAATTTATTACAATTTTGACTGAATGGTCTATCTTCATTCTTCAATAATAATAGAATCAGATTTCTATATCTGCTTCTTCATTATTTATTTTTCTTGAAAGGCAAGTAGGTGACCAGCCTTCTGTGCCTGACACGTCGATTTTTCGGTCTAAGGCATGACAGTTGCCTCAATTTGTTTTGAATTTGTTGAATGTGCAAAAGAAAAATCGATTTGTACTCAACTGTGATTTGAACGCATGATCGCTGGATTTAGAGGCGCTCAAATCAAACCGCTTTATTTATATACACACATCCTAGCTGATCCGGCAAACGTCGTTTTGCCATGTTTATCATTTATAATAAAAAATAGGGGTTGATCGTAGAGGGGTGAAAATAAGTGATGTGTATTTTTAATGTTGTATCATAAAAAAATAAAAATTTATCTAAAAATTAAAAAAAAATTAGGGGGAGGGACTACCCTTAACATTTAGGGGGATGAAAAATAGATGTTGTCCGATTCTCAGTTATACACACAACATTACATGAGAATCGGTCAAGCCGTTTTGGAGGAGTTTAACCACCAACACGAGAATTTTATATACACACATATATTAAGAAACAACTTTTTATACATATTCAATCATATTAGTTTATCCATCGGAGACTGGGGCAGGGATAAGTTTGAAGATCGAATGAAACTTTACTCATCACGTCCACAACGATCTAGAAAGTTAATTTTAACTTGGTTTCAGTACTATTTTATTAGTTCAAAGTGATTATATAGTTTACGATTGTTATATGAAGGCTTCAAGTATACACCTAGACTCAGTTTAGGTCAGTTAAAATCTTGCTTAAAATTTTATAAGATAACTTTTACTATATTAAATACTTGATACTTGAATCGTACTCGATAGATTTTTCTGAGACACAATAATTTTAAATCTATATATACATAAGAAAAATGGTCTTCGTTTGAGGCTCCTTCACGACAACAGTATTTTTTTACACATATTACCCACATAGTGTCTATGCTTGAAAAACGAAATGCATTTTCGAACAATAATAAGTTTTATGTACCATTATTTTTGAAAGCTTTGCTTACTTTTGCTGACAAGAGGGGGGGATGAATTGCAGTATATCTGCTTACGTAATACTTGAACGGCCCTCTCACGTCTTATTTTCTGTAAAATATCTTCCACATTTGTAAGCTTGTATGTAAAAAAACAGCAGTAAAATGTCAATCGTGTGTTTTCTATAAAGATTCTAACAATCTTAATTTCAATTATAAGTTACCGTAAAAACTTTTGAAACACACGCCAAACTCACAATAATTTAAGTATACATATTAAAAATATTTGAAAGCAAATTAATACGATAATATTAGTAAATTTGCACGTACCAAAAAATACGTATTGTAATCACTGTAAATTACGTTGTATTGGGTCGAACAACATTGAACACAATCTTATCTTAGGTCCCTTATTGAACACTGGCTTCCATTTCAACGTGGGGAACTGGCCAGGTCACGTGGAAGCCCCAGGATCGAAAATCGGAAACTGTGACTGGCTCCTGACAGCGGAGTCCCTGAAGAGATCTGGCGACACGGAAGGGATATTTCTCTCCGTGGCCCACTGGTATCCTCCCCATACATCCTGCACGTATCTGATGCAAGGTTTCCCCGGACAAGTGGTTAGGCTCTATTTCCCAAGGTTAGTCCTTAATAGAGTAATAAACATTCAAAATAAGTAGGTAATTTAGATTCTTTGTTGAAAATTGTATATACTTTGGCATAATAAGGAAGCTTTACTATACCAAATCGGTGTAGTAGAAATGATCATTGCTACTAAGATCTTTACTTCTTTACACCATAGAATTTCAGTCCCCAAACCTCAGAATATTAACTATGTAACGTGTAGACAATAAGTAGGTTATTGTTTATTCGTAATCATAACAAGCAATTATACAGTATAGTAGATATAGTATATAGTTTTTTTTATTTAGATTATTTGTTGATATTTTAATTCTCTATGTATCTTATAAATATAAATACATTGCTTAGAGGAGGAATAGATATAAAGCCACCGACTTGACAAAGTAAAACCTTAATATTAGCTTTTCGCATATCAGGTGACTCCTAACAAAATCATGTTAAATGGGTTTTTTTGTATTCGATTAAAACTAGTTTTGCTACGCTATAAAGGCAATACATTTATATACAAAAATATTAAAATTTTACACAATTAACAAGTATATTAATAAATACATCTTGCCTTCCTTTCCAGGATCTTTAAATTGTTTACTGTCATGGTAAATATACTGAGATTTGAATGAACTATTACGAATATATTTCTCACCTAAAATATGCTTTTAAGGCCCTTTTCATTGGCATTTATTTATAGTTTCCATTTGTAGGTAGTATTATGATTAAGCCATCAATTCTTATCGAGCATCAATAGTACTAATGCCTTTGATAAAGATAATACGGAAAAGTAGGCCTCCCTGAAGTAGGCTGTATGAAAGAGTAATAGGTATCATTCAGACTTCCAATGCGAGATATTTATTTGACATAGATTTCCTTTTTATATTGCTTTATGTATGAAAGTGGCAGCTATTCAGATGTAAAATGCGGCTGATATTATTTTATCACGTGTTATTCTATTTCTGTCAATTATACAATTTAAAAAAATAACTAAAATTACACAAATACACGTAAACAGCTATTGTCCTGTCGTTACTCTACGTGAGGCAAAACTTAGCGGTTAAAGATTGTATATACAATTGTACATCCAATTTGAAGTTACTGTGCAGTTTCAAATTCTAGGTATGTAGGTAATTCTTCATTCCTTTGACCATATCTCACTATGTTTTTTAGCTTTCGGATTAACCGCATAGAATCACCAATAGTTCCATGGACGGGTGACTGTGGGGAGTCCCTGACTCTGTATGATGCAGCTCGTCCTGACGATGCGAAAATCATTAAGACCTTTTGCGACACCTTTAGTAGACCAATGGAGAAGCATGACTTTGTGTCTACTGGAAATGCTATGTTTGTCAGATTTGAGAGCAAGACTGGTAGTTACAGTGGGTAAGCTGTTTTCCTTTTTTAAGCTGTGAATAATACATAGAAATATATTCGAACTACTATACAATCAGCCCACCAATTCCTTTTTAATCGACTTCAAAAAGGAGGTTATTAGTTGGACCTGTTTGTTGGTCATTTTGTTGGAAATAATAATTGAGTATGATAATATATCTAGGACACGAGTGCTTTATTAGGTGTATATGTCTGTCCACAAATTTTTCGGAAACTTTAGGACAAAAGATGATAGTTTTTTTTATTTAAATCATAGATATATAAGAATATTCCAACGTAGGGAAGTGATTTAAAGTCGCTTTTTTATTTTTCTAGATTACTTTTATACACTATTTTTACAATATTTTTTTGGGATTTATATATTCAGCCATCGATGCTATACAGAAATAGAACAAACCTTGAATCACTATTATATATTTATAAATTTAATAAACAGTGTGAGCAGTGTTGGCCTAGTGGCTTCAGCGTGCGACTCTCAACCCTGAGGTCGTAGGTTCGATCCTCGGTACTTTCTTTCTTCATTAACGATGAAGGAAAACATCGTGAGGAAACTGGCTTGCCTTAAACCCAAAAAGTCGACGGCGTGCGTCAGATCATGAAACAGATACAGAAATCTCAGACCTAAAACGGTTGCGCCACTGATTTATTTATTTTAAATTTAATAAAGACTTTATTTAAAAGTTAGCTGACATGAACAGCCTTGGGTCAACTACTTTCTCGAAAGACATACTAATGTATAGTACTAGATATCAATTCCTATATGCTCGCCTTCTCCAAAGTTCGTGAACTGATCGCATTCTCACGTTTTTGAAGCTCGAAGGGACCGAAAATAATGGGCCTCCCCATTAGTTTCCCAACGACTACCCACGCCAATCAATACCGAATGGGCTAATAATAACGCTCTAATCATCTAATCGAGGTCCATTACAATTTTGGCTTTGTTATAGGCCAATATTTCCCGTTCCTGACACGCAATCTTCTTCGATTATTACTCTCAGTCTAATAAATCATATAGGTATTATACTAGTCAATCACGGCTATACACTAAATTGCCACAGTAAAACTTCGCCTTTAATATTGTGTTTAGGATATAATAGTTTTAATACTTATACCATACATAACACCCAGGTCGTCCCTCTACTACTGGGCTCACTATGACTTCTTCAACAACACACGCTTCGGTGAGCCAGTAAGCGGAACTGCATGTGACGAGGTCATTGCCTCCTGGAAGCAACGAGCTGGCAGACTCCGTTCACCACTCAACACCTTAGTTTACAAACAGGCTCCACCGGGTGAAGACGTCCATTGTTTGTACAGATTTGTCACAGACAAGAGAATCTATGCTAGAGTTATTGTGACTATATTAAGCGTGAATTTTAAGGTAAGGAATTCCAATAACCGATAACTTAGACACGCCTAATTTTTGAAGTGAAACTTCTTTAGGCGCGTGAGGGTAAATTTTTTACGGATGAAAGGCAATAATAATAATATTAGCGTCACGAAGATGTGCAGCGTTTTTGTCGGAGAATAGGGAGAGAGAGATTGAGACCGATTGAGACCGATTGAGAGAGAGTGAGATAGAGCGAACGCCGCATCACGCACAGTGCTATGGAGCGAGAGGTGGTAGAGGTGGGAGAGAGAAAAGTAAGAAAGATTGAGAGAGAGAGTAAGTGAGATTGAGAAAAAATACACGCCATTGGTTGATGTATTCGTTTAGTACTTACATATTAGATCTTTAGATGGCAATTCTGTCGCATAACATCTTGTGCAGTAAACGCAGATTTTATTTATTTATATTATCATTAGCACGTATACAGTGTGTTATTAATTTACAAAGAAGTTTCACTTCTGACATGTGTACTTTGTGCGCACACATTTTTTTTTAATTTTCTTTAATATGCTAAAATATATTATTATGTATGTTTGTATGTTTTTGTATGAAATATATAATTTTTATCTATCTAAGCCGTAGGATCAATCAACGTTAAGATAATATTTGAAGCTAACCTTCCGAAGGTAAAAGTATTCTTGTACTGCCGTATACTCTAAATCGGTCATGAACTATAAAAACATTAAATTTTGCCCTGGCAAAGTTTTTCATATAATTAACACAATTTAATGGACAAGAATACAATATAGAATAAATAATTGTGAAATACGTCATTGCAAGATTAATATATATAATTTCTGAATAAATAATTTAAACATATTTTAGTATATTTGGAAGTAACAAAAGCAAATATTCATAATTTGCCATTTAAAATATCGTCGAATAATATCGAAAACAAAATAAAATCATAACAGTCGGGAAATTTATGCACGATAATCAGGCATTCCTCATTATCATAGCGTTATTTTGTATTAATTTGTGTTTATATCAATGAATAATTGACATAAATTATACAGTTTTAAAATAAAATGTAATAAAAGACAGCTGATTCAGTATTTTACGATCATTAAGTGATAGTGACGTGCTTTCATTTGAAACACTAAATTTATTTAAAGTAGTTCATTACATTACTACATAATTAACAATATATAAAGATTGCTCACTTGGCTTAAGGGAGCGTAGTGCAGTGACCGCTTTAGCCCATGAAACCTTTGATGAACTTATTTAACCTTTACTAAAGGACTTAAGCAATCTTTAATTCTTAAAAAGTTCAATAACCACTATAAGGTGTTTTAAAATACACATACATCATCTGTTCGCAAAACTTAAAAACAAATGCTTAAAAGCCGGCAACACCTACCTTAGCGTCCAGACATTGCATCAGCGGTAATTAGCACGCCTAAAGGTGATATCAGACGGTTCACTCGAATGATTGTTCACTCCTAATGCGGCACTTTTTCCATTCTATGTTCACACGGCTTAGACGAAATGATACAGAAATGAACATTCATTTTGTTCTTTCTTTAAATATGTATCGATGAAGTCGTACGTCTTGGAATTAGTTATTGGATCATTTTCAAAGAGTTGACAAAAAGGAGCAGAAAGTCGACGTGTGGGTAGACGATGGATTGAAAGAAATTTATAGGAGTCCAAAAGCATTGTTGAGGGAACTAGCCGTTGAAGATCCTGATCCATTTTAAACCATTCGAGATTTATAAAAGCTAAATTTGAAGGACTGTTAAAGAAAGTTATAACTTCGTGACAACGTATGTCCGTCGGCTACAGGACTCGAAACAAAAGGGCGATCGAATGACGTTCTCTCAGGGTCAGACCGTTGATTTCTCGTTCATTGGAGTGGGAATGAAAGATACGAGCCATCCAAACTGTTGGATCGGTTCACTAATGAATTCATTCGGCACTGTGTTTCATTTTTTTTCAGACCATTTCATTTCGAGTGAAATGTACCGAATGAAAGGTGAAAATGAACAAAAATGAACCGTCTGATATCACCTTAACGGCACGTTTGCCCTCTACTTAAAAAAATTACACTGTCTAAAGCTTGAACAGAATGAATGATAAGAGAGCATTTTCAATTTATTATAGCTAAGGGCCTACTAAAAAATTACTAACACCTACAGGGGGAGGGGGATCTTGATTTCTTTTTTTGGTGATTACGTCTACTGTAATTTTATACACATTTGACCCACACGTCTTTGCTAATTAAGAATTTTCGAGATCCTACAAAAAATTAATATTCTTATCACTGTTATCATTTTGGGCTTGGCCTACTTTTCCTGATAAGAGGGGGGGGGGAATAAATTGCAGTAAATCTGCTTACGTAATACTTGAACGGTCCCTAAATGCACTTAACAAGGCATTTTGTAACATAATATCCACTATGTGGGTTTCGCTTGCAATAGGATATCAGCTATATTGAAGGAAAATGTATACCACTATTTAGCTCCGAAGGCGTAGATACAACAATGAATACTATACAAATTATATATAATATTGTACCTTTTTTGACATAAATTACACCTATTACATGTAATACTATAACTAGTGTTATTAACGGCGACCAAGGAGGTTTTTTTTATTAAATTATAATTCTCATACATATATTAACTTTGTATTGTCTTTGATTGACATAACCTTTAAAGATACCGGATTAAAGTTATGTATTATTATAAATTTATAATTATTTAACATAATTTTAAATTTATCCGACGTTTCGCGTGCTTTACAGCGTGCGTGGTCACGGTCACTTTAATCCGGTTAAAAAGTTTTTTCTTTATATATTAACTTTATTAAGTTTTTAGGTAGAAAATACTTATATTTTTATTCGTATGAATATATTATATATCTAAGCGTCTAATATATATTAAAACTCATAAACATCTGTTCAACGTTTCATAAACGCCTACAAAAAACACGAAACCAAATCCATAATATAAGTAATAAATCTCATAGATATATATAATGTTCACAGTAAACAATTGTCTTTGGTTCTACGATATTTATATCAAATTGAATAAATATATTTAAGACAGTTATATGGTTCAACATCAATTCATTTAATCAATAGGTATTTCGTTAAAATTTTATTTTTCGATACGATTCATTCATTTGCAGCTCTCGATTTTCAATAAATAAGTATGCTTTCATTGAGTTTTAAACCTGAATTTATTGGACTTGAATTAATATTTTGATGTGTTGCTCTGATTTCGCTGGAAACAGAGAGATATCAGTAAACAAATCGCATACAAGTTTCACAAAAGCAACGATATAAATATGTTATGTTATATGTATATGTTTTATAAATGTTAAATAATTTTATAAAATCTTCATTGCAGGAACATCCTTACACCCCCGTTTCGTGTCAGAATTGTTACGAAGACAGAGCTGACAAGTTAATCATCTGGGAACCATTCCCCACCGGCAGAGCTGCCAACCTTTCACTCGGAATGACGACAACACCCCTTCCCCTACACTTGGCTGTCCAACGCTCCATCGGCTCATGTTTGTGCGCGAAACACGCAAACACTGTGACCCGTTCCAGGCCGTATAGGGTTGTGTCTTCTGGGGAATCGCTGAACTTACAATTGATCGTTGACAATGCGCATGCTGCCGCTTCCTATTTTAAAAATCCTTCTCCTCTCTTCGAAGCCAGATATGAGTTTGTTCACGGACCCCTCTGTGGACCAGCGGTATTAGCTGCTGCCTCAGATGGCGAAATCGTGTACCCACATCTGGAAGCATTGGGCTATACGGAACCACCAAAGAGGATCCAATGTATTTGGGATCTTGAAATTGAGGAAAAAAGGGATATTTGGTTACATTTCGACAGCATCAAATTCGCGTCTCGACACTGCGATGATGGAAACATACAGATATATCTACCTGGAAGAGTAGAACCCTACCTATCAGTTTGTGGAGAAAACGTTTCGTTAGCTCGCGAACTACCAATACTTTCGGCTGGTGAACTTGGTTTCGAATCTTTAGACGATCCTCTGGTTATGGAAAAAGAGAAGACAAGGTCTATCCGAATCGTATTTATTGGAAGTGCATCACCAGCGCGTGCAGCTTTCAAAATTGCTTGGACTGGTTTGTACCATTTACCAAAAAACTCCGACGGGACACTAATGACATCGCGTTTGACTGATAGCGGTTCATATGCACCTGACGGACACAATTGTGATTTCATATGTCCGGGAGAAGAAGCACTGTGTATTCCTGCTAGATTGATTTGTAATGGAGTCGTGAATTGCCCAAATGTAACCAGTGGTGAGAGAAGGTATTGGACGGCTGAAGAAAAACGAGCGAGAGAAGCTTATTCAGAAGATAGCTTGCGCAGACTTGGGTATTTGGATGCATTGACTGGAGAACTGGGCAAGCTACATGATGAAGCTCCAGAACTATGCACAGGAGCTCATATGGCTGGGAGCGGAGATTGGATGGCACCTGTATTAGGAGCAGCACTAGCAATCGCGATTAGCGTTTGTGCTCTTGGAGCTGCTTGGCGACTCTGCTGCCGCAAGCGCTCCCCAGACGAGGAGTCCTTGGATTACTGACATGCGGCTCGCGGTGCGCACGCACCGCCCACGTTGCATTCTCGTTCAGCATCCAGAGACCTACCCTTGGACTGGAGCTTACATTGACAGACGCTATATTGAGTGCCGAAATCTCTTGTTGATTATTAATATATCATAAACACAAACTGTTGGTCTGTGTATGTAATTTTAAATTTATTGCTTTATTTTGTCAGTAATACAAAAATTATCTTACAAATACTTAGTTAATACGCACATTGTGGCATACTCTATTGTACCGTAAATAGAGATTTTCTATATTTATGTACTATGTATGACTATGGCACTCAAAACATGTAATTAGTGTATATACCTTCTAGATATCCTGATATTGAACGCTTTGAACATCATCAGATGTGCGCACTTGAGTGCTTTCACTAGCCTTTTGTAAGGGCTTTTCATATTTTTACTTTGATGATCAATCAAAAAGCTTACTAAGTGAACTCCTGGCTTGTTGGCCTGGCTTTTGAAGGCACTCTAGTGTTCGCAAACTTATAGGTAAGGCTAAAGTGATAGTAGTTAGTGACGTGCTTATTTAAGTAAGAATCTTACTGGGGTTTAATTTTTTCTCCGTCAAAACAATTACGATTGATTTTGAATTCCATACATCAAAATATTAAAGTATGTTAAAAACGTTCTGACCGATGTGATTATTTTACTTATTTTAATGAGCAAAACAGTAGGCAAAAACAAATCAGTATTTATTAAGCAAACATTCATATGCAAATGTTATAAGTAATAACATCAAGCGATTTTGAAAATGGAACTCCCAATTATGAATCATTTTGTTATGAGTACTTTCAGAGGATTCAACAAAAGTTTTGTTTCTAACTACGGTTTTTAACTGTTATGATGTAAATATTCATAATATTAAGGTGTAGTTAAGAAGTAATGAGCATGTATTAAGGCATATTATTAAATACGTTGCACAAATTAGCGATTAGTTGTATAGCCCAGGTAAATGGTACATAAATTTATGAGGAATGAGAACACAATGGTAATAGTTTTTATTTTTTTCGTACTTTGATTAAACAATTCATGATAGTTTTGTCTAAAAAAGTCAATTAGTTCTTACGCATCAAATTGGTACTATGTTAGCAATGCTAAATTCCATGATGTTCTGATAAAATGCAAGTCACTTAACAACTGATGTCATTATTATCGAATAACCTTTGTAGTCGGAACAATGATTTATTATTTTAGATTGCAGGGCACAGTTGAATCACCTTTTTACAGATAGAGATATACAGAAAGGCAACCTCTATATCCCCCTCCATCTAGGCCCCTAAGTCGTTCAAGTTTAGTTCGGAAATACATCTACTGGCAGTTAGGTTCCAGAAGTGGTGTATGGTAGAAGTTGTCTTAATAGCGCTGTGTTGTGGAAATTCAGGCGACGAGGTGGAAACGAGTATTTACATATATGACTGAATACGAGCCTAAATCCTAAGCCGTTTGTAACATAGATCATAGTATTGTCTTTGATTGACATAACCTTTACACATTTAAAGAAAAAACTTTTTAACCGGATTAAAGTTATGTATTATTATAAATTTACAATTATTTAACATAATTTTAAATTTATCCGACGTTTCGCGTGCTTTACAGCGTGCGTGACCACGCATGTTAAATAATTGTAAATTTATAATAATACATAACTTTAATCCGGTTAAAAAGTTTTTTCTTTAAACATAGATCATATCACGTCTCTAGTTAAACGGTTCAATATTTATAAGTCCAAGTATACTTTCTACAAAATTCATATTTCGAAAATAATAATTAATAATAATGAAACGGGCAAAAAAAAAAACAAAGGAAAGTGTGCGGTTTTACTGCTTAAAGTTTCTTCCATGCTACTCTGACGTAAAAGACGAACTTAAACTGAACTTATTTACCTAATATACGAAAATGCTTCATAAAGTACTTTAACGTCAAAGTCTTCTAATGACACAATAGTCAAAGTAACTGTTTACTTTATTTTTTGAAGTTATACTTCTTTAGGCGCGTTATGAAAAATTGATGAAAGTGAAATTTTAGGATGCGCGCGCACCGTGGCACAAAAATAACAGAATGAAGTTGCCCACGGAAGATGCTACGATATTGACATAATTTAAAAACAACATTCGAATAATAATAAATATTTACTTATTTAATTTTTCAAATGTAAACTGAACTTTATTGACTATAATGACTCCTTTTCCAGTCTTTGATTATTTAATTGTAATTAATTATTTGCATGCAATCAAAAACTATTTTTAATAATGCCAAAGAAGTATAACTTCTTACGCGCGTACATAAGTACACGCACCCTTTTTTTAAATCCCAAAACCTTGATACCAATAAAATCAAAATACCACCGAAACCTGTTCAAAATATATCTGTGAACAAAATTAATGATATTTTGGGAAATTTTATTACTTTGAAATCCCCGAGTCTCAAAAATAACGACGTATAGACAAATGTAAATTCTGTAAGAGGATTATTATCAGCTTGAAACAAAGAATTGTAATGGATCTATCGAGAGTCTTAACAGTTTAAGCGTATCCATCTTGTCATGTTTTATTCAACATCAGCTCTCGAATTAAGTTTATTGTTCCACCCGAAGTAGATCAAAGTTATTTCTTTTATTTTTCATTTCGTTAGGAAAAAACTTCGGAAAAATTCATCCACTTATTACGGAATTCAATAACTTTGCAATTTCAGTAATCTCGGCGTATTTCAGTTTTATTTGAATATTTTTCGCATGTTTTGTAAATTAATTTTTCGAAAATTCGTATGTTAGCATTTAATATACGGTCTTTCTGCCTATAGAAAGTTATTTTATATCAATCTCCCGTACACTTTTATCATGGTGATTTTCTATATTTGTAGCTTTTAATACGTTTATGATTAAGACTGTCTAAATCAACTTAAAGTAAATCACTAGGAGGTGACTATGTAAAACAAATGACGACAGGGCGCTACGATCTATTGTGATTGGTCAACAGAATCTCTTGTCCGACATGCGTCACACATTCTTCGTCATTACATTAAAAAACGGGGCCGTAATTCGTTTTACATTCTCTTTTTATATCACAGTGTGGACCCACATAAGGAAATAAATCAGTACTTTAAACTCACATATAACTAATTAAATACCTTTACATGTATCTATTACGTGTTAGCTAGCTTATAAAAATGTGTATTTTAATAAGCAGTTGTGTTTTATCCATAAATTCACTGGTAAGAATACTATTACCACAGTGTACTCTTTATAATAATGATTCCACTGTGCCTGGTTGGACAAAAAGGTAAGACAGGCAAACCTAGCGAGGGTCTTTCGTATTTTTATTCATTGAGCGGATGTACGCTGTGAACATGATGAAGATATTAGAAATAGATTTAGGTTACCCGACTTAGAGTAAATGTTATTTTAAAAATTATGTTATGTAGGTTCAATCCCCGTATTTTGTATAATGAAACTGGAATTCCTAATGTTTTTATGCTTGTTAAATTTTTTGAATACTTGTGAACATTTAGACAAATTGTTGTGCGAAAACTTGTGTTATCAATTAAAATGTTGACAAAAATATATTTTGTACAAAATTGTTTTATCTTTTATTTTACCTTATTATGGTGTCAGCGAAGTGTCAGACACTAAGATCGAGTTGGAAGGCAGATATACTTGTCTATAAAGAAGAGAAGAAGAAGAATTATTGTTGAAAGTATTAGTACCATACCATAGAGAGCCGTGAGTTTTCATACGTTATTGTTAAAATAAATTAACTTTAAAGTTCCGTTATGTTGTCGTTTCCCTGATAGTTCTATTTTATTAAATTGTTACTCTGGCCAGTATTGAAACTGTTACAAATACAGTACTGACGGAAATCAAACTTAGGATTTTAGGCTATAAGGGAGAATTAATTGACCAATCTTCACAGTCAGTATTGAGTGTGTAACTTCATATTGATCAAGTCATCGTTTTAACATTAAACCCCATGGCTATGACAGTCAAATTAACAGTGGACATGAGGCAAAACAATTAAATAAACATTGCAAAATTACGTAAAACCGTGCGAATATATCGAATTATCTTAAATATTTGTATAAATCTCAAAAGCATTATTCAAATATATGGATCCAATACGCAGTTCACACTTTCAGGGATTTTTTTTGGTTTAAAAAAGTTAATTCAAGAAGATTATTATTCCATATATTAGTAACTAATTATTAGATTATTTTCCAGACTGTCTAAATCGGAGTTGTCAAATAGAGCACTTTACGTTACAGAAGGGTCCCAAAACTCACATTTAAACAAAAAGCGACTCTATTATTATAATATTCAAGTTTTAGTTTGGTATAAATTTCAATACCTTTGGCTACAATATTTCATTTACTGCAAGCCAGGTGCTTACTGATGCAAGCTCTATTTGAAAATATCGAGTTTCCCCGAAGCACTTGTCAACGACATTCGAGTGATATTTTACAAGTCCAAGACTAAGTTTGAATGGAAATTCAAAGGAAAATATCTTGACTTGCATAGTCTAGCTGCAAATTTGAAACAGGATTCTGCTTTCTCCTATATGTTGTATGAATGGAACACAATTGGTATTTCAATATATTTTCACTAAGGCCAATTTCATTTATGTATGACTAAGATATATATTTAGATATACAGTCAAACCTGGTTAAGTGAGACCTCAAGGGACCACGATCTCATTTTCTCTTTTAGAGGTTTCTCACTTTCCCGAGAACCTAGAAAAGGTTAGATTTACAGAAGGGGTCTGTCTCACACAGAAAACAACAACACACTGTCACATTGTCACTTACCCAGGTTTGACTGTGTATTCTTCCACCAGCCATTAAAATAAGTAATAATTACTTAATTAATCATAATTATTTATTAATGTTGTTTCGTAACCGTGCAGGCGCATGGAGCTGTATCCATCCGCTTACTTTTTCCTCGGGTAATGAGTTTTTCGTATTCCGTCTCAACGTACAAAATA